ATGGAAACTCTAAATGCCGAGTTAAGGAGTTCAGAATTTATTCATTAATAATAACAGCTAGCAATTACACAACACTAAAAGTGTTTTGCAAATATCATCTCATTTGATCATCACAACAACCCTAGGAAGTAGATGCTATTATCATTTCCATTTTACAGATGAGGAAAGTAAGGCAGACAGAGGTTGAATAACTTGCCCAATAACTTAAAGCTAGTAAGTGTTTGAGGCTGGATTTGAAGTTAGGCCTTCATAACTACATGCCCAGTGTTCTATTCACCTGGCCACTGAGCTACCTCTAACATACAGCTAAGTCTCCGTGCGTGCGTGTGTCTGTGTGTGTGTGTGTGTGTGTGTGTGTGTGTGTGTGTGCTGCTAGAAAACAAGGTGACCAAGGCCCATTTGAGTTATTCTCTCAAAATCTTCAATCACCAAATTTCATAACATAGGGCCAACTAGGTAGTGCAATGGATAAAGCGCTGGGCCTGGAGCAGCTGGAATGTACTGTTATACAGATAACATTCTTATCTGCATGTTATTCAGTCGTATCTTACTCTTTATGACCCCATTTGGGGTTTTCTGAGCAAAGATACTGGAGTGGTTCGCTTTTTCCTTCTCCAGCTCATTTTACGGTGAGGAAACTGAGGCAAACAGTTAAGTGACTTGCCCAGGGCTGTACAGCTAGTAAGTATCTGAGGCCACATTTGAACTCAGGAAGATGAGTTTTCCTGACTCCAGGCCCAGGGCTCTATCCACTGTGCCACCTAGTTGCCCCCCTTCTTATTTGTATACATCCTGTATTTTCCCTTTCCCAAAATGTAAGTTCCTTAACTGCAAAGACAGCTTCTTCTTCTGTTTTTACATCCCCAGCACCTGCCATAGGGCCTTGAATTTAGTAAATGCCTAATAAATGTGTTAGTTGACTAAATATATCACTGGCGGAACTGTGAATTCATACAAACATTCAATCAATCAATAAACATTTATTAAGCTCTTACTGTGTGTCAGATATGTGCTCAGTCCTGGAATACAAATTTAAAAAAAGACAGTTCCTGCCCTTGAGGAGCTTAAAATCTGATGCACATTCTGGAAAACAATTTGGAATTATGCAATTCAAGTAGCCCTGCTAGACAGATCCTCCAGGAAGTCACTGTCAAAGAGAAAGACTCCATATACAACAATGTTTATATAGTACATTGACCGCAAATTAGGGAATGGCTAAACAAATTGCGGGACGTGAACACAATTGGATATTATTCTGCTATAAGCAATGATGGCATTTGATCATCACAACAACCCTGACAGGTTAGTGCTATTATTATCCTCATTTTACAGATAAGGATCTTGAGACAGATAGAGGTTGAGTTGCCCAGGGTCACACAGCTAGTAAGTGTCTAAGATAGGATTTGAATGCAGGGCTTCATGACCTGAGGCCCAGGGGTCTATCTGCTATAGTACCTAGCTGCTTCCAATATGGCTGGAAAAAGCATGGGAAGAATTACATGAAATGATACAAAGTGAAGTCAGGAGGACCAAGAAAACATAATGACTACAACAAGATAAGTGGTGAGAACAACTACAAAACAAGTGAAAATGAATGTTCTGCAATTACAAAGGGCTTGGCCCTAAAGAAGAGACGTGAGAAGGCACCTCCCCCCACTCCTTTGCAGAGGTAGGAAGGTCCATAGGTGTGGGATGTCATATATAATGTCAGATTTTATTTCAATGTACTGATTGGTTTTGCTGATTTTTTTTCTCTTTTTTCTTAAAAAGAAAAGTCTTTCTTAGCTCTTCTCAGCAATGCAATGATCTAAGACAATTCCGAAAGACTCATGATGAAAAACGCTCCCCACATCCAGAGAAAGAACTATGGAGTCTGAATGCAGATCAAAACATACTATTCTCTCTTTTTTTTTCTTTCCCATGGTTTTTTCCCTTTTGTTCTGATTCGTCTTTCACAGCATGACTAATGTGGAAATATGTTCAACATGATTGTTCATGTATAGCCTATATTAGATTGCTTACTGTCTTGGGGAAGGAAAAAGGGAGAGGAGAGGGAGGGAGAAAAAAAATTTGGAACTCAAAATCTTATAAAAGTCAATGATGAAAACTATCTTTACATGTAATTGGAAAAAATAAAATGCTATTAAGTGGGGGGAAGGGGAAAGCCTTTGTTAACACGAATAGCTCTATAGGACAGGGGAGCAAGAGAACACAGGGTAAAAGCTACATGATGTCAAAACAGAAGATATCAATAAAATCTATTTTTTAAAAGTGTTTGTTGAATTGAATAAAGGTGATTTTTCCCCTCTCAGATTTCATATAGCAAATTGTATATGGCTTATAAACATATATTACTTTGCATTATACTTATCTGCATATGTGTCATATCTCCCTGATAAACTATATTATGGGAGCCAAGGACTTTAAGGGATTAGGATGTCCCCTTATAGATAATCCCTAGAAAAATCTTTGCCTGGCTTCTAGAGTGAGTGGCAAAGGATAGAAAAAGGGAGAAAAGAGGTTTCAAAAAATGAGCTCTTCAAATTGGCCAGAATTGAGTGGTTTTAGGGTTGGGTGTGGTAGAATGCTGAGCTTCAATAGATTCAGAGCTATCTTAAGGGAATATTTAAGACATTTAGTGATTTTAGAGAGAAACTCAGTATCTGGGATAATGAGCTTCCATAGAGAATTGCTCGTGTCCCTTGATAAGTAAAAGGTCTCAGGCTAAGGATATCCTAAAGGAACCATGTTCTTACTTAATCTCTATAACCCCCAGTGCCTAGTATAGTCCTATGTTTAGAGGCTCAAAAAATGGTTATTGAATGAATGAATGAATGACATTTCTTTATTTCCTTTATGTCTGGTTCTTAGAATTCCTACTCAGGGATGGGTAACCTTCACCAAGTGACAAAGGATGGATTGCCAAGCCATCCCATACAGCAGAGTGGTCCCTGGTCACAGCTCCTATTGTGCCCTCTTCTCTTTCCCTCTGCTGTTGTCTCAAGCACTGGTCACCATCCAAAGCTTTGTCCAGTTTTGCCTTGTTCACTACAAGTAATGGGGAATTGGTGATATTGGGAAATATTTTTAGAGCAGGGGCTTGAGAGGGAAGTACCCTTATCTCTTATCCATTCTACCACATACACTAGAGCCCAGGTGTATTTTTGCTAGAGTTTATGCAGAAGGAAACATCCTGCCCCATTTAAAGACTTCACATAGCGCTTCGTTCTATGACTTTCTCTTAGCACTGTATATTGCTTCTTATTATTGTTTTGATGTCTTGTCCCTGTTTAAGGTTGTAAGCTCCACATGGGGATGAACTATGTCTTATCTCAATTTCTTACAGGGCTCTGCAAACAGTAGGTAAATAATAGATGACAGTCATATTGTCATTTTCATGGTTAAGCTTCCCCTTTCTCCATGGGCCAACTCACACTGACTAATTGGTTGATCTCTATTTCTTTAGGCAATATAGTATGGCTCAGGGTCAGGTGAACCACCCTTGGAATATGGAGACATATATGCTGGTGCCTACTCTGCCAATGGCTGGTTGTGTGACCCTCTATAAAATGAGGTGCTTGGACTAGATTATCGGTTAGGGTGCTTCCATCTCTAAAATTCTAGGCTGCCTAGATCCTGGAAAGTGGAAAGATGACTGGATTTGATCAATACACACAAGCATTCTCTACTAAAGTGTTTCTCTGCTAGCTCATTGTGGCAAAGATGTGGCCTTGGGTTTTTAAAGATTACATCTGCAGAACGCAAGTTCCAGAAGATTCTCTCACGAGTACTGGGAAGTGTTGAATCTGGGCTAGTGACAGACTAGAACATGGGTCATCCAAAGACCAGCCTAGCAAAGTTTAAAGGTTCATTACTAGGTTGGCCAACCCCAGAAACTCTTCAAAAACATCCTCTAAGTTATAGAAGGTTGTGGCCTATGTCGGTGAAACCAGGACTCACTCCCAAATTATAGGTATTTGAAGTATGGCTGTATTGATGTAAACAACCATTATAAGTAATTCTAATCTCTAAAAGACTATTTTCTCAGTAGTTAAATAAACTTGCTACCACTACCTATTTACATAGAAAATTACTCCAATTCTACATTTCATTCTTTCAGTCAGTATAGACTGTCTTTATTGTTTCTCGTTTTTATATCTACACTTTCTTGTTTCAATGGAGGTGTAGAATGTTCCTCTTATTAAAAAAAGATGGATCATATTTACATAGCACTTATAAAGTGTTTTCACACGTATTACCTAGGCACCTAGTTAATACAATGGATAGAACACCTAGCCTGGAATCAGGAAGACCTGAATTCAAATGTGGCCTCACAAATAAACTCATTTATAAGCTATGTGACCCTGGACAACTCTGTCTGTTTTGTACTTTAATTTTTTAATTAACTTAAACTTAAAAGTTAACTTTCCTGTGATGTACCTAACCTGCAAGCAAATGAGGCATTCTTCTAGTGACATTTTGGTAATACAGTCAACCTCCAACATTCTCACATTTAACTTTCACAACTTCAAACATGGGAATGATTTTATTAGTAACCTCATTTTCACTTTCACATCTGGCAACCACACACATTGGCAGCTGTGTACAGTAGAGAAAAAAATGAGAGGTACCAGGTGAGCAAGTTTGTGGAGTGACTGGTATCCTACCAGGTGCTTCACTGGCCCTGTCTACCCACCACAGGAGATTAAAGAGCTCCCCATACATTTACTGTGTATTTTCATTATTTGTCTTTAAAACTCAGGTTCTGTGCTGCAATTGTGCCCCCCAAGCATGACGCGAGTCCTTTGGGGTCTAAGCCCAAGCGTGCAAAGTCAGTGATGTGGCTTAGAGAGAAAATAAAGGTGTCAGATAAACTTCCTGCAGAAATGTCTACAGCTGCGGTTGGCTGTGAGTTTGGTGTTAAAAAAATTGACGATTAATTATGTCACAAAAAGGAGGAAAGTATTTCAAGCTGGCCTCCTTCATGATCTCCACCCAACACCATCCACCAGCAGTGAAGGAGAGAGTATCAGAGGTGGCACTGAGACTTTGCCAGCCTCGGCATCTTTCAACAGCAGCAACTGAAGTCCCAGCGACCTCTCCCTTGGTTTTCAGAGGGCAGCCAAGGCAGGGAGGTTTAAGGCAGCATTGTTATACAGTACACCAGCACCTGACGCAGTGGAAGGTAAGATTGAGGTTAAAAATGTTTTAGTTTTAAGAATTTTGGTACTGTATATTTCAAGTGTTATGGAAAATGAATGTTGTCTGAAATCAGGTTTTTTTTTTTTTTTTAATTGAGATGTTACTAGAAAAGGTCACAGAATTCTAGGGAATTACTAGTGAGAAAAAATACTCTGCACATTACCAATTTTATTTTGTTTACTACATTTTATGGGTATTTCATGGTCACTGTGTTAGGAAAAGTAGATATCAGAATTACTATTTTGTTATTAAGAATTGTACACAAAAAATGTATTTTCAGCAAAAGATTATAGTTTTTGGTGGTCCCAGGAACCTACCCCCCTATTTCCCATAGGTTCAATGTATCAACACTGGCATTTTTTACTTTTGGGCTGTTTTCTAGGAACATCACCCCTGTGAAAGCTGAGGATTGCCTGTACTGATGGAGTATGTAGGCTGTCCATTGGTTGGCCCTCAACCCCACTATGTTACTGGCCCATCTTTTTATATTTGTTATATATTTGTTATATAAACTTTGTAAATCTTAAAATACTAAATATGCTAACTGACGCAGTGGATAGAGTGCTGGGTCTGAATTCAGAAAGACCTGAGTTCAAACCTGACTTCAGACACTTACTAGCTATGAACCCTGGGCAAGTCACTTAAGCTCTGTTTGCCTCAGTTTCCTCATCTGCAAAATGGAAAGGATAATAATAGCCCCTATTTCCCAGGGTTATTGTGAGGATCAAATAAGATAATATTTGTAAAGCATTCAGCACGGTGCCTGGCACATAGTAAGTACTAAGTAAGTGTTAGCTATTATCATTTCTTTTGAGCTTCACACCCGGATAGGTGGCACAGTGAAATAGAATATTGGACTTAAAATTAGGGATACTTGAGTTCAAACCCTGAATCCAACATTTAGTATCTGTGTGATCCTGGGCGACATTTAACTTTCCTGGGCCTCACTTGCCTCACTCAACTTGCAGTCGATGGTTTCTAGGGTCCCTTCAAGTTCTAAATCCACAGTCCTGAGTGTTATTATTCCCACTTTGCAGAAGAACAACCTGCACAGCCCCACTCTGAATCACTGCCTTATCACAGCAGATGGGCTTGCCCTGCTCAACGAAACTGAACTACGCCGTGCAGAGTCACCCCAGACGGACAGTGGAGAGTTTTGACAAAAGGTGAGCCACCAGAGAAGGAAATAGCAAACCACTCCAGTATCGTTGCCAAGAAAACACCATGGATAGTATTAAAATGATAAAAGATATGATACTGAAAAATGAGCCCCTCAAGCTGAAGGTGTTCAAGAGCAGATGACAACTACACGTAGCTGCAGTATTTGGCTTACTTGTACATTGTTGTTTGCATATTGGCCCCCACATCAGACTAGACATTCTTTGAGAGGTGAGAAAGTATTTTGCCCTTTTTTGCATCCCCAGCCCTTAACACAGTGTAGGCACTACATAAATATTTGGTATTGCAATAAAATAAAACTTACAACAAAGTAATTACATAATTTAATTATACATACATATTTAGTAATATAATTAAAAGTTTAATTACATAAATGAAAAGCCATTATTTTGCCATGATAATTGTACACAAATGATAAGCAACTCATAGAAATGACTGTAATTAATAATGTTTTCACACAGAAAAATCAAGGGTTTGGTTTTCCTCCAGGATCTATAATCAACATCAATGTCACCAGTTTCCCCTAAAACTATACCTAGCATATTTCTCATACATACATACATACATATGTGCACACACACACATATATACACATACACACAAATATTAAAAGATAAAGGTATGGATCAGACCCTTCATTTCTATTCTGAAAAAACCATCTCCCACTTAGAAGGTGGTGGCAATTAGCTCTATATTTCTTCATTATGCAAATGTACCTGTGATCTCTTTGATGTGGGTCCCTCCAAAGGTGCAAATCACAACCCAGCTATACCTCCTCACCCCATGCAACTCTTGTCAAATTCTTCCTATGGAGCCTTCATAAGAGATCCATCCAATATGCTGGGTGATCTTCCTCTAGTCTGTTTTTATTTTTATTATTGTTATTATTAAGTACATTATGGCTATTATCTCACTCAATACTTACAATTCAAATCTGACCTTAGATACTTGTTACCTGTGGCCCTGGGCAAGTCATTTAACCTTTGTTTGCCTCAGTTTCCTCATCTGTAAAATGGAGACAATAACAGCTCCTACCTCCCAGGATTGTTGTGAGAATCAAATGAAGCCATATCACTTTGCAAACCTCAAAGTGCTATAGAATTATTTATTTATTCATCCATTCATTCATTCATTTATTATCTGACTTAGGTCAAGCTTCTAACGCAGAACTGCTTGTTGGTACTCCCTGAAGCAGCAAGCTCCTCATCAGCACACCACACATTTTAATAATTCCCACTATTAGAAGCAGTCATAACAATAAGTTTTGAAACTCCATTAGGTGCAATGCTCTAAATATACACAGGGTCCTGTATAGAATACTTTATCTAGACATAAACAAAATGGGATCTTATGTGTTAGTCTCCCAACAAATACACACCCGGTCCCACTCTCTGCTCTCCTCTGAAAGCATGGTTTGCCCCTGCTCCTGAAAGGAGTTCCCTGAGGATAACTCAAGGAAGAGTATGCAGGGAGACCAGACCACGTACATCCCCTTCTCATGATCCAAACTGAAAGTACGCCCTGCATCATTCAGCATCGACTCTCACCAAGTGAACAATCGAACCTCCATACTTACCTCCTTCTGATCTGGAAAATAGTCATATGGGATACTTGGTACACTTTATGGAGTGGTTAACTCCAAAATATGGAATGGGCAGTTAATAACTACTATTGCTTGGCTGTGGTTTGCTCCAGGTTGGCTATGAGAGCAATCTCCACTTGTGTTTGATAATCAAATGAAAAAGTGCATGTAAAGTGCTTTGCGAACCTCTTGGAATTGTATAAATGTTAGCTAACATTAATAATAATAATCTATATTAAAATGATGACAAGCCAAAGACTTACAAAACAAAACCACCTGGAAATAAGCCACCTATGGACCACCTCCAGAAGATCCAGAGGCATAACTACTAGAGTGAAGAACTTGGGAAACTTCAACCAGTCCTTCTTGCTTTGCAGAGCTATGTACCTATAGTGAAGAATTGCTAAGGTAACACTAAGATAAATGGCATTTAGCTCTGATATCAAGACTTACAAAAATAAAGTTTGTCAAGAATTAGAAAGAACCTCAGAGACCATCTGGTCTCATGCAGGTCTCTGCAGGAATCCCCACTATGTCTCTCAAGAGTCACTTTCGCTTGGCGGCAGTCAGGAGATCTCCCTACCTCCACACACAGCTCATTCTGCTTTTCAAAAGCTCTGTTAGGCATTTTTCTTTGCAACTAGTCTGAGTCTGCCCCTCTTTCTTCTACCTATGTCTCTGGAAGCAGGTAGCTTGATCTTCTTTTACATGATGGTACTTCAGATAAATAAAGACAACTATTAGGGTCTCTTCCTCCTGCTCTAGTGTTCTCTTCTCCAGTATTCCCAGTCCTTGAAAACCAACGAGTTTACTAGTCAATCAACAAGCATTTAATCATCACTTTTAGGCTATTTAAATGTCTGTCCCTTCCTCTTTTCTTCTTCGAGACTTGTGATTTCAAAAATGTAGGTGTACATCTGGGTTAAAGAGCATGCACTGTTGGTAACTTGTGCATAATCCCAAATTGATTTCCGGAATAGTTGGACCCATTCACAACTCCATCAATGTGCCTGTTTTCCCTGCAGTCCCTCTAGCATTTATCATTTTCTTGCTTTGTCATCTTTGTAAATCTGATGGGCATGAGGTAAAACCTCAGGATTGCTTTAATTTTCATTTCTCTAATTATTAGTGATTTGGAACATTTTTCTTATGGCTATAGATAGCCTAGCAGCTAGGTGGCACAGTGGATAGAGTACTGAGCTTGAAATCAGGAAGACTCATCTTCATGAGTTCAAATCTGGCCTCAGATACTTACAAGCTGTGTGATCCTTAACCCTATTTGCCTCAGTTTCCTCATCTGCAAAATGAGGAAGGAAATGGCAAACCACACCAGAATCTTTTCCAAGAAAACCCCAAAAGGAGTCATGAAGAGTCAGACATGACTGAAACGACTTAACAACAACAGTAGATAGCCTGGGTTCCTTCTCTTGAGTACTGCCTGTTCACATCCTTAGACCATTTATCAATTGGAGAATGGCTCTTACTCTTAGAACTTTGAATCAATTTTTTAATTTATCTTGGAAATGGAACTTTCTCTAACAGTGTTGTTTGGCCCCTGTAATGCATTAAAGAGTTTCTTAGAGAATTGCCCAGGGTACTGAGAGGTTATAAAACTTTTTCAGGATAACACCCAGTATGTGTTAGGAATGGGACTTGAACCCATATCTACTATGAAACTAGCTGTATATATATATGTTGTATGATTCTGCCTCTTAGTGACAAATTCATTCAATTGGCTAATTGCTTTGCCTGTGTGACCTAGGTTCACATCCATGTTACATGTGTAAAGGATCGGGAAGACCTGAATTCAAATGTGGCCTCAGATATGTACTAGCTGGGTTACCCTAAGCAAGTCACTTAACCCCCATCTGCCTCAATTCCTCATCTGTAAAATGGGGATAATAATAGTACCTATCTCACAGGGTTGTTGTGAGGATTAAATGAGATAACATTTGTATAGCATTTAGCTCAGTGCCTGGCACATACTAGGTGCTTAATAAATGCTTCTTCCTTCCTTCCTACTTGTTTAATCTTGGGCAAGTCACTTAATTCCCCTGGGTCTCAGTTTCTTCATCTGTAAAATAAGGTGGTAAAACTAAGTGGCCTCTAAGGTTCCTTTTCGAATAACCAGTTGGGACTTTTTCATGGACTTGACTGGCTGGTTCATATCAAATGGTCACAACCATGGCAGTAAATGATTCTGTACTTGCTATCATTTCCAGGCCACCTAAATAGTTTCTATCATTTGCCTTTTGAAGTAACAAATGCTATTGACATTCAATTTGTATGAGACCTGTGTGGGAAATGTCTTTTCAAAATGAAAAAAATCACAGGATTTGGAGTTGGAAGGAACATTACAGGCTATCCAGCCCTACCCCCTCACTTTAAAGATGAGGAAACTAAAGCCCAGAAAAGGGAAATGGCTGGTCAAAAGTCACACAGGACATGGATCTTAACCCAGGCCTTCTGGCTCACAATCCAGTGACCTGAACCATGCTGAGTCTGCTGTTTTAGAGATGAAGAAAGGCTAGAAAGATCAAAAGGATGGATGCATGAACAGACATGATCAAGGAGTAGTAATATTTTAAAGGGAATAAGTTAGAAATGTTTCTACATCAAGGAAACTCTTTTTTTGTAATTGAATGAATGATAAAATGCCTCATGAGTTTTATGCTATGTGCCAGGAGTCTCTAACAGTAGCGCAGGGTGCATTGATCCATCGTGAAGCCTTACTGGGTTGAGTTTCCATTGCTTTGGCTCACCTGTACCCAGGGCTTTAAGGTTTACAGGGCATAACATATTTCTCACCATCTAGAAGGGGAACTCTGGTAGTCCAAATACTATTATCTCAATTTCACAGATAAGAAAACTGAAGCTCCAAGATATGAAATGTCTTGTCCCTAGTCAAATGGCAGAACTGGGACAAAACCCCAGGTTGTCTGACTTCCTATGGATATAATTCCTGTACTCTATTATTCATGTTATTCAGACAGTTCTAGCAGCTACACCTTTCTCCAAAGCCTAGTAAGAGGACTGAGAAGGGGACAGAGAATTCTCTAGTTCACTCCTTTGGCTAGGCTTCTGCCCACATGAGGCAGATGAAGAAAACTCCAACCTGTTAGTGGCAGGCATCGGCAATATTCAAAATAACTTTCTTACTCTCTTCCAGAGCAACTTAAGAAAAATGGGCTGCTGCCCAGGTCTGACCACCTCCACCAAACCAAGTTAGGCAATGTCCCACAAGGCCAGACTACTAGGCATCCTTTCCAGGGGTTGCAGATCTGTGCTGTTCCTCCTTCCCTCTCCAAGGAGAAAAGAAAGAAGGGATTACCTGAGAGGTACAAGGATGAGTCATCCAATGGCACAGTCCAGCCCAGGGGTTCCCAACCTTTGTTGTGTTGTGTGTTGTGTAACCCTTTGTCAGTTTAGTGATGTCTACAGACCTCTTCTCAAAATAATGTTTTTACATGCACAAAATAAAGAATATAGGATTACAAAGGAAATAAACTTTATTGGGAAAATTATCAAAATGTTTTGTTTTGTTTTGTTTTTTAAACAAGATCAGGAACCCTAGGTTAAGAATGCCTGGCTAGTCCTTCATGCTACCGTGCGGGCAGGACTTAGACTGACCCTTCCCACTGACTCATCTCTGGAACCTTCCTAGTTCCCTTGCTAGGCTGTGTGGTCAGGATGGTCCAGCAGGCTGGGGCCGCACGCATACTTAGCTACAGCTCTGCTGACCTTGTTGGGGATTAGAGAAGATTACACACGGGATTAGGGAGTGAGAGCATTTTCCCTAAACCAGAATGCCTGACATTCCCTTTCATGGGTTTCAAGAGACCCCAGTTTCCTGTAAAAATTTCTGTAAGCCATGAATAGCTCCCATATTCCTATCCCTATTAAAATCAAAGGGGTTCATGGGAATATGGAAGCTAGAAATCTCAATTCAGCAACATGAGCTTACCACATCCTTTCTCTGAATCCTCTGGCTTCTCGGCTTAAAGGTGCAGAAAACACGGTCTCTGAGTAATCGCAGCAATGTACTGTTCCCTTCACACTCAAATTCCTTTAAAGGCTGATTTATCAATATTTACCATATTATATATCCAATAAAGCTATTTGCCTAACCTTGTTTCAGAGAATTGGTATTTGCCAGTTATCTTATCTTATTACAGGGAGCCTTTGTTGCTTAGCTTTCTGGGTTGTTCTGGGTCACCTTGCAGCCCCAGCTTTCAAAATAAGAGTGATTGTTGAGAGAGGCCTATTCTGCATCCCATTTCCAAGCTCCTATCAGACCAGTGCCCCTGTCTCTGCTCACCAAAAGAGGTTCCAGGTTGGAAATCATTCAAAGTTCCTATTTGTGTATTCACTGTTCTGTTGCCCTGTATCAGCTTCTGCATGAACTTTTGGGTACTTTGGATACAATTGGAGCCTACTGATTAGCTCTCATGTTATAGCACAATGATATTTTGGTTTCGGGTGAGGAGAGACTTTCATGAGCAGCCCTTATTTTCAGACATGTAAGGAGACCATAAAAAGCTGAACTATAAGTCAGGAAAACCTGGGTTCAAGTCCTGCCCCTGATACATCCTGGATGTAGCACCCTGGGCAAGCCACTTAACTTCTGTCTGCCTCAGTTTTCTCAGCTATACAATGGAATAATAATAATAATAGCACATGCCTCTCGGTGTTGTGAGTATTCGATAATATAATATTTATAAAGTGCTTAGCATAGTACCTGGCACATAGTAGGCACTTAATAAATACATATTCCCTTCTCCTTCCCATTCTCCTTATACCAAGGAAACCCCTACTCCCATGAATACCTACACACACACACACACACACACACACACACACACACACACACATATGCATATGTATATTTATTGACGTTATTGTTGAGTCATTTTCAGTTGCAATTGACTCTTTGTGACCCTTTTCGGGGTTTTCTTGGCAAAGATACTGGAGTGGTTTGCCATTTCCTTTTCCAGTTCATTTTACAGATGAGGAAACTGAGGCAAACAAGGCTAAGTGACTTGCCCACAGCTAGTAAGTGTCTGAGGCCAGATTTGTACTCAGGAAAATGATTTTTCCTTATTCTAGGCCTGGCTCTCTATCCACTGCACCATCTAGTTGCGTGTATGTGTATATGTGTATTTGTGTGTATGTATATATATATATATATATATATATATATATATATATATATATATATATATACACAATCATATGTAATATGTATATATATATATATATACACAATCATATGTAATATGTATATATGTTTGTGTATATCTATATATGTGTGTATATACACATACATGTTTGTGTGTGCATATGCCAACAAAATTAGCTAAAGCTTCCATCTGAAATTACTAATGTTTCACCTCTGCCCTATGGTAAACCTATTTAGAATGTTTACTCAGAGTCCACTGACCAGATTCTGTTGACAGCCAAGCAGAAAAAAAAAAGCAGGGTCTGTTACTAATGGTTGAGAATTCTTTTTCAAATGTCTTTTTCCAGGGTGACTGGTTATTTTAATTTGGCACCATGTAAATGCCTTTTCCTCCATCAACATTCTCTCTTCTTTTTTTTTTTTGAAAAGAGATATGGATTGTATATTAGGTGATCTTTTTGTTTGTTTTTTATTTTAAAAATAGAGAGTAAGTCAAAGCAAGTAAGTTTTGAAATTCAAAACTTTGGCTTTCTCCATCAAGATATTTGGAAATAGCATATGGTAGCATATACTGGGGTAGAGAATGCATTTTTTCAAAGTAAGGACCATCCCAGAAGTATGGCATAGTGGCAAGAAGAATGAATGTACTGTCAAAAGGGCCAAAGTTTCAGCCTAGCCTCTGCTACTTACTACTCTATGGCCTTGGACAAAACCATCATCAGTTTAAACTTTAGTCTCTTTATCTGTAAGATGAGGGGGTTGGATACACTGGAGTTTATATTGAGCGGGGAGAAGAGAAGGATTCATATCTTACGAATGAAGAGAGATGGAAAGTTGATTGTATTCTCCAAAAGGAATATTTGTCATTGTGCTAATATTCCTGACCAAGGATGATATAAAACTTTGGCATGACCAATGAATATAAGTAGTAAAAAAGAAAAATATAATTAAGAAGGTCCAAAACAATATGAAATAGTAAAATTATGCTCTGAATCTTGGAATGTTACCACTAGAAAAAACTTTAGAGAAGATCCAATTCAATTCTTTCATTTTATAGATGAGGAAAAAGGTTCAGAGAGATAATGAGATTTGCCCTAGATTATACAACCAAACTGGGACCAGTAACCACTATCTAATAAAAATTTGAGGAAATGGGCATTAAAAAAAATAATACTACAATCTTAGAGTCGTAGATTTGGAAGGACTTCAGATACCACCTAGTCTAATCCCTATCTGAACCATGAATCTCTTCTCCACAGTCCTTGATAATTAAGATTTCACTCTTTGCTTGAAGACCCTCCAGGGAGAAGAAACCCACCACCCTTACAATCCAACCACTTTGGGACAGCTCTAATCATTAGAGCTGGGTTTCCCTTTCAACGAGCCTAAATCTATCTTTCTGTAGCTTCCAGGCAATACTCCTAATTTTCCACTGTGGGGTCAAGCCAAACAAATCTAGCCCCATTCCCTGTGATGGTTTTTTAAAAATTTGAAGACAGAATCATAGAATCAGCACGTGTTAGACCATTAACCTGTTCCCTATTAGCTTTTTCTTCTCTAGGCTGAACATTACCAGTTATGTCGAATGATCTATGGTACTGAGAATTTTCAACAATTTGCCTTCATGAAGATTAACTCCACCTGGTTAATGTCTCCTCTAGAATGTTGAACTGACCAAAATATTCCAGGTATGATGTGACCAAGGCACAGTACAGTGAGACTATCATTCCCTCATTCTGTGTATGGTCCTATCAACCCAAGCTGAGGACTCTGGTGTTTGCCATGCTACTTAACCCAGATTATAATAGAAGTACCACCAAAATTAATCCCTAATTTACAGAACTTCATATTTGTCCCTACTAAATTTCATCTTATTAGATTCGGCCTATAATTGTAGTCTGTCAAAGTCATTTTTGGATCCCAATTCTATAATCTAATAATGTATTAACTGTCTTTTCCAGTTGCATGCCAATCACAAATCTGATGTGTGCTATGTAAACTTTTATGCATTCAATGAAAAAAAATGATGAATAAGTCAAAGCCAAGTATTGAATTCTAAAGAACTTCATTAGAGATGTCCCTCAGAGTTGATGTTGATTTATTAATCAATGCCCTTTGAGCTTGATTATGAAATTATGAGAATGTGGCCTCCTGCTTTATCAAGAAAATAAGCGTCTGTTGGTCAGGAGCTTTCAATTCTATACCTTAAATCCTCCCCAATATCATCCCCCCTTTTCTCCTCCAGTCATGGAAGAAGAAGTAGTGCTTCTCACAAAAACCAACTTTTTCACTTGTGCCCTTGTTCCCTTCCTCCCCTCCTGTCTGTTTCAGGAGTTTATTCTTTGGATTATCAGCTCACTCTCTAATTATCCATCCTTATTCATGAGATCTTTACCAGACACCTATAAATAAACCCAGATCTAGCCCATCCTTCTAAGACTATCACTAATCCTATTATCCATTTGTCCACAAGGATAGATGCTGTGAAAATCTTTGCCAAATGCCTTGAAGAAATGTTTATACCATGTCTATGGCATTTTATGACTTACCCATCTTTTTCATATTTTAAAAAATTTTCTTATTTTTAACATTTTTTTTAATTTGAGCTCTGAATTCTCTCCCTCCTTCCAGCCTTTCCCCTACCCATTGAGAATGTAAACAATATATCAATTACACATGTGAAATCATGCAAAATATTTCCATATTAGCCATGTTGTAAACAAAAAAAAAGCAAGAAAAATAAAGTGAAAAAATTATACTTCAATTTGCACTCAGCATTCATCAGTTCTCTCTCTGAAGCCTACCAATCTTTTAAGTCTTAAAAAATAAAATGATTTCATAAACCATAATGGGTCATAATGAGTATCTCTTTTTAGCCATTTACCTAATAACTGTTCTAATAATTACTGTGAGAATTTTGTAGGATCTAGTGATATACTTGTTAGCCTATCATTTGCACTATCAACCTTTTCCTCCATTTTTAGAAATTGGGACATTTGCCCTTCTCCAGCCTGTGGCACCTATCTTGGTCTCCATGATTCCTCAAAGTTCACCAATAAAATGTCAGCAAACATGCCTACAAATTCTTTTGGTACATTTAATGTAATTCATCTGGGACAGGAGATATGATCTCAATGAGGAGAGCTCAGAATTCTCTTACCAGTTCTTCATTCATCACAGGGTTTAAGTCTCTTAAAACTTTTTGTTTCATCCTATCCAGTTTAAAGATGATTCTCTTAGATCAAGAATACAGAAGCCAATAGATGTGTAA